AACACTGTTCTTCCAACACTATTAAAAGAGCTCCCAAATGCTCCAAAAGCCCTCGTGCCCCATTGCTCCTCCATAGAGGAGGTGAGGTGCAGGCAAGGGTCAGGGACGGGCAAACGTGTCACTGCAGTGCACACCTGCCCCTCACTGCATCCATTGTTCTGAAGCAGCTCACTGCCATACTTGTCTGCTGTTTTGTTCATGCTTGTATGAATTCTTAAGAGCCTTCAACGGGCAATTTCCTGTTGAAAAAAGAACCTCTCTGACTGCCATTCTCATTACATGGCAGCTTAATTTTGAATACACCAGCATCAGGCAGCCTCATACAAGGGGACTTGCTATCCTTAAGTCAGTGTCCCCCTTGCCTGGTTAAATGATGCCATTTTAATTTGAGGGGAGAGAAAGCAAACCCAGATCGAAATCTCATTCTCAGCCACGAGGCAGTGCAAAGGTGGGTAGTCAACAGCCAGGGTACAACTCACTACTCTGCAACCTAGATAAAACCTTTTATGCTCTCCAGATTTTATTTTCCCTACACAACGAGAGCTTCAGAATTAACTTCATGAATAGCTGTTTTAATCCTGAGAGCAAAATACGCAGTCGATGCTTTGGTATGGTGTTAAGTCCCTGATTTGTCTTGATCCTCTGCTGCACAAAGAGGTGTGTTAAGGGGGAAAATGTCAGAACACGTCGGTAAGACTCCTGCACTTGATTTCTGTGTAAAGGAATGTGCACAGCATGCTCCTTATAGATAATTGGTTCGCCCAAGCTGAGACGTGGAACAGGCAGCGGGAAAGGCATGTAGAAGAGAGGGCTGTGTGTGATATTGTTTATCTAATGTCGTACATCTCTTGCACAGTGGTTATTCAGTAAAATCAACACTGGCTTACGGACAGCGTGATACCCGGGCCGTATCAGTTTGATGTGCTTGTTATAACTGATCGGGTAAAACGGTGCTACTATGGTGAATTTTGAAAATCTTGATATTTGCGATAATAACAAACAGCACACGTTAATCTCTGGGTGTGAAATAGAAGCTGGAATTTGATATTAGTTGTTGACTAACCTTAAGCTAAGAGAATCATAGAGTGGGGAAAATGACCTTTCACCTCACTGGCTCCCTGGAAGCTGACGTGACGTTACTGGTTACGGTAAAATCAGTAATAGAGGTGGAATGTTTTGAAAAGTAAACTTGGTGCTGTCAGTTTTGGGTCCTTAACTACAGAACAATCCTCTATCCTCAGAGTTAAGCTAAGCAGGTAGTTGTCTAATTGTTGTTAATTGTAACAATTTAGGTTTTAAATCAAATGTTTGAGATGGAAAATTGTGCACCGATGACATAATGTCTAATATAAATTAGAAAAAAAAAATGAAATAAAAAAATATATAATCGCCTTTAAATATGAAAACAAAACATTACACTACTCCAAGAAGGTATGTATAATTGTGGGAATAAAATATAAAACATAATTTACAAAAAGGAATATCTTTTACATATACAGTAAAATGCACTTCGTATACCAGTATGTGCATAAATGGTATGCCTTTTTGATAAACACATGATGCTATATGTATTGAAATATAAATATATATTTTACTATTTATTTACTTTCCTATATAGGTGTGAAATCACACTCATGAGACAAGGCAAAAATGTGCTGGTATACATGTGTTTTTTGCATATTGAAAGTATATTCCTGCTTTGCTGTTTGAGTTTGGAGGGGGAGGGGAACTGTAAGATAATTGAATTTCATTTCCATGTACAAAGTCAAGAAACAAGTATCCAGTAATAGGTAAATCAGGGATTGCCAGACTCAGAGAGATTATTAATTATAGTTTTCTGTAGTTAGGTTTTTTGTGCACTGTGGTGCGGAAGACTTTTATTACAAAACACCTGTTTTTTTTTAATTATATTTATTTATTTATTCTGTTTTCACGTTGCCATTGCGCAATTTTTTGTAATGTTAGCGCACCTGCCGTCCGTGTCTGTGGAAACATGCAGCGACCCG